TGAGTCATTTTGCTCAAGTTTTGATTCATTCTGAACAGTTTTTATTTTATTCGTACAAGTTTTGAGTTGTTTTGAGCGAGTTTCGAGTAATTCTGGACATTTTTAAAATCATCTTCGTTTTCAGATATTTTGAAGTTTGGTGTAATTCGATTAAATAGTTTTTGTTTTTGTCATTTCGGTCAAATTGTAAGACACCCAGTCCAGTGTAACTAGCTACCAGAGGCTAATGCTAGCTACCAGAGGCTAATGCTAACGTGATGTGATCCAGAGTCTCGAGCTCAAGATAATCCTGATCACGTATCGACGCTGCAGCTCTGATCTACAGCTTCTGGATCAGGACGAGACGATGCAGCGTCTGCAGGTGAACCTGATGGAGGAGGAATGAACTCATCAGTCAGACACTGTGTGAGTCAACAGAGGCTGGTTGTGTTGATCTTCTCTCCGCTGAGCTCTTCCTGTGTTTCCTAAACGTTTTATTATCCGTCTGAGTGAATACACCAGAGATGGGCTGATGGAGACGATGTGAGGCCGGCTTCAGGCTGATCTGCAGCGTGTTTCATGTAGAACAACAACAAGCTCTGCAGCTTGTGAAGCTGCTTGACAGGAAAGTTGTTGAATCTCTGCTGTGAACTCGGTTTGTCTGCTGCAGGATTGTTGTTCCTGTTGAGGCTGAATATTGATCCTTCCAGCTCCGACAGCATCTGCAGTCAGACGCTGTAATGATGCAGTGATCATGCTCCTCTATCGGTGGTTCTGCCCTCATCTGTGCAGCATCATGGATGTGAACAGTGTTGGTATCTACACATGCAGAGGAAGTCATTGGACGATATGAACGAGGACTCTTTGTTGAATGTGTGCATTATTCTTCTTTATTGGTGCAACAGTGCAAATAAACCCACAGTGGGTTTAATAAAGGCTCCTTATATCCCATAATGCTTCATCCTGGAACGTGTAAATGAAAGTTTGGTTCTTTATTTGATGACACTTGATGGAGGGACGAGTTTCTGTTTGTCACAAATCTGGAAAATCCTCTGAAGCTGTGATTGTCATCGACTGTGTGTTAGTGTGTGTGTGTGTGTTAGTGTGTGTGTGTGTGTTAGTGTGTGTGTGTGTGTGTGTCATTGTGTCATGCAGCAGACAGTGTGTGGGTTTGTTTGCTAACAGGACTCTGCTGAAACTGACAGCAGGGTCTGAAATATGAGACATCTGGTGTGTGTGTGTGTATGTGTGTGTGTGTGTGTGTGTGTGTGTGTGTGTGTGTGTGTGTGTGTGTGTGTGTGCGTGGAGGTGATTTCAGGTGTGACTCAGTGTGTGTGTGTCACACAGCGACAGACAACAAAGTCACTTCCTTCTAAACACTCGCTGTTTGTCTGCGGCGGCCGTAAACTCTTTGTGTTTGTGTGTTTCATCCTCAGACACAATCAGCGGTTGTGTGTCGAAGGACGGCTTTAAGTTTCGGGTGTTTTCGTCTTCAAGCATCAGAATCTGAAAAAAACCTCGAATCCTTCATGAGAAGCAAAAAAGCGTCTCTGATGTGTAGCTGATTAATTGATTTGTTGCTCAACAGATAATCAATAATCTAGATATTGTTTGAGTCCTTTTCAAAGCAAAAACACTAAACTGATGATAAACTTTTTCACTTTTCCCTGACAAATAATTAAGAATAAATAAATAATTGAATTTATGGAACGATTTCCTCTCAAGTATCTTCATTTATTTGACATTTTTATAGCATAAAATCTAAATATTCATACAGATAGTTGTGAAAATTTTAGATTCATACATCAAATGCGTTTACTTTTAATTATTGTTTTTTAATTTCCCGTTATTTTTTCACATTTAAATCTGAGCAACAGCATCTCAGGAACTATTAAAGATAAAAACCTGAACTTTTTCTCAGTTATTTCTCATCATGTCGTTGATTCAGAGTCTTTAATATCAGACAAGTCGATCAAATATTCTCTGATTACGGCTGCGTTGAATTAAGAACAAAAACTGAAGCCGTCATGAAAAGTTCCATCCTTAAACTGAAATGATAACAGATAATTCAGACGTCAGCCGGTGATGTTTTCTGAACAACATGTTGCTGCAGGTCACAATAAAACACAACTAAACAAGTAGGATGCTTTTATTTTGAAATGCATGGTCACAAAAGTTAAAAATAAAGTGATTTTAGTTGAAGTTTCACAGCTGACTGAGCAGGTTTGACAAAATACTGATCGATCGCCTCATTAATTAATCAAATTAACTGTAAAGTCTCTGATGTGTGAAGCTTAAATCTCACAAACATCCGTAAGAATTTCTGCAATAAAAAATTTCAGGCAAATCAGAGACGGTCGAGCAGAAATAGTTGTAAAAACCTAATGATTCACGAGTGTGTTTGTGTGTGTGTGTCTGTGTGTGTGTGTGTGTGTCTGCATGTGTGTGTCTGCATGTGTGTGTGTGTGTGTGTGTGTGTGCGAACAAACTTCCCACTTCCTCGTGTGACTCACCTTGTGACATCACAGTGTGACATCACCGTCTGCGCGCGGCCCGATTGGTCAAAAGGCTCCAGAGCTCCGGCCTCAGTGTGTTTCTGGACTTTAGCTCTGAGGAGGCTCGACTCTTTCTCTTCACACTCAGAGAGACTTTAGTTGTTGTTTGTTTGTTTGTTTGTTTGTGGATCATCTTTAAGCCGTAGACATGTCTGTCTGCGTCTGCTGAGGTAAGATCTACCTGCTGCTGACGGTTTAACTTCTTTAAAATGAAAAGTTGTGTTTGAGGCTGAATGTGTGAAACGAAGCAGCTCCTCTTTGCTTCTGGGCTGCATGTTTTCTACTGTTTCATCTTTATTTTTTAGGTTTGTCTGCATGGAAAGCCTCTCAAACAGACTTTCAGTCTGTAGAAGCACCAAAATGTGCTTTATGTGAAATATTAGAACTATTAAAATACAAGAAAATCAACAAAACAGAGTAAATCACTGCTTTCCTGCTCTGTTTATGCTGATTATAAAGTGTTTTAGGTCCTATTTTATTTAGCAAACAGCTTCTAAAACAGCAGAAAATGACTTTATCATCTGCTGTCGAAGCCAAACTCTCCTGAAGGTGAAAACAAATCTGTGACTGAATTAATTCTCTGCAGCTCTTCCAGACGTTAATTACGTCTCCTCTCATTATGTAGTTGAGTTTTTGCACATTCATCCGTCAGGTTTTGTAAGTTCTCGCCGCCTGTAGGCCTGATGGTATCGCACCCCGCACACGCTCGGCTCGGCTCGGCGGGAAGCTGTTTGTTCTCCTGATGCTGCGAAGCGTTCAGGTTTAGTGAGAAAAAGTTCCATCTGTCAGGACGGAAACAGAGAAGTTTGGTTTGTAGGCCGGTGGTTTGGCTGAGTCAGGATTTAATTCTGACTGCACGGAGACGAGGTTTACATCAGGTCCTTCAGGGATCCTTCTGCTAAAAATAACGATGGTTTTGGTTGATTTAAATCCAGTTTTGAGCTAAAAATCAGCTTAAAGTTCAGATTTAAACATGAAATATGCTGCTGATGTTGTTTCTGAGCTTCACATCGTCTGAAATGAACTTTTTAACTGAGCAGCTGAAGAAACTGGTAGAAGAATGAATTAATAAACGTCCTTTTTGTGTCACGTATACATTAATTTCAGTCCATTTTATTGATAGAATTAAATATTATGCTGAATATAAAGTTAAAATTGGAATGAATGTCGCTGAAAAAGTCTTTATCCTGCAGTTCTGATAAACGTATTTGCTCTTCAATGCACTTAAAGATCATAAAAGTACATTTTAAGGTTTTGTAAACTTATTAGATGCGTAATTATTTTAATCAACACTAACAAAATGACAAAACACTGCTTCAAAACAGTTAATTCAGTCTTGAACTGTAAGAATCTTGTGTTCATCATATCAAGCGTAAAACGAGTTTTCACACCTAACTTTACATCTTTAATGGTGAAAAAGTATTTTGCCCCATTAAATAATTCATTTATCTTAAAAAAAAAATCTATTCACTGTAAATGAAGAAGTACTTTGATTATAATGACAGTAACAGACATTTAGTTTTAGGTTATATCGACTATAAAATGAGTTTTGACATGAAGGAAAACAATCTTATTTTTTATGATATTTTAACTGAGAGACGTCGTCAGAAAAAAACCCGTCATTAAAACGTTCCTCA